GAGTTGCCTGCTGAAAAACTTTCTTTCCCAAAAACTTTCTTGAGACTGACTCTTGATCTTTATTGACAGGGCTGAAATCGGATCATGGTGAGCTTGTCAGTGCTGTACAACTTTTCAGTAGATTTTATTTGAAAATGTTTGAAGTTTTCCTAGGTATTTATCTGGTATGCCAGAATGCTTTCTAGCTATCACTACATAAAACAGGAGTGATTGCTGTGCACACTGGCACATACGAGTACACCGTCTGACGTGGAACTAAATTTTTAGGATGGATCTTCCCAAACCTTCAATCTGAGCAGTGTGTTTGTTACTTTGGATAATCTCCAGCAGTGCTGGCTGTTGCCAGAAAATAAATTGTTAAAACTGATGCCACCACAGTGGCCTTCTGCTTACAAGCATTATCTGCTTGTTTGTGTTGCCTGTTGGCCGGAGGAAGTTAGAATCCATTGCCTTAGTTTATGTAAAATTGTGATCTTTCAACATCATTTTATCATCACTTCATGATTGCTCTTCTGCATTTTTTTCCATGAGCTGTGTCAGTAGGAACAAGGTAGATATGTATCTGACTTGCTTCTCAAGTCCTGGGCTTTACAGGTACTTCTCATCTCCCTCAGTTTCAGTCTGTGCATTTAATGTAACAGAGGCAGTGTTAGTGCTGAACAGCTCTAAAAATTAAGGATGAGATTTTCAAAAATAAGTGATGATTATTTTAGTAGCCTCAGTAGGCCCTTATTTTTTGGGGAGTGATGAGTGATTTGCCGTTGACTACATTTTTTAACTCTCTTCCACTTTGTGGCTGTCCAAGCCAGTGAGGAAGTATGCTTTTACCTACAAGCATGATTCAATTTCATTGAGCCTGTACTTTCTTCAGGGGTCTCAGAGTGTGGAGCAAAAATGTGTGAACAAAAAGCTGTCATGTCACTGTTAAGGTTGCATGACTAGTTCCCAAAAGAGTAGAGAAGTGCTCTACTTCTTATGTTCCTTTGCGTGTATGCACTGTGCCAGTCTGAAGAAATTAAACTGAGATTAACATTCAGAGAATTAACATCAAAACTAAAAAGTTGCGTCCCTCTCCCAACTGTCTGAAGACTACATTAACAGCAGTTTGGGGGTTCCTGCTTCCTGAGGTATCTTCACATTATATCTATTTGCTGATGATAGTATTTAACCCCACCATGGACGCTGTTTCCATTTTCAGACTGCTTATAATGGCATGGAAAGTTTTGCTGGTTTTTGTATTGCACTGCAAGGTTGTTGGGTTTTTTCTAAGTCTAAAAAGAATGATTCAGTTCTTGGATTCAAACTTTGAAAAACTCCATTAAAGCCTGGGGTTGGGAACTTTTTTTGTTTCTCTGGTTTGGTTCTGTTTTTTTTTCTGTTGGATCTCCTCAATGGGCATGATGTTAAGAGCAGAAAGCTTTAGGGTATTGCAGTGATTAATGTCTGCATTGAACTCAGTCATAAAAGTAAAAAGAAAGACACTAGCTGTATACTGTGTGCAGTGGCCCTTTTTGATATAGCTACTTGATGCACTCATACAGAATACTGAAGTGGATATTTTTTCCCCCCTTCCTCTTTTTTACTGATCTGTTTGCAGGATGCATTTGAAGTGCTACCATTACTTTAAAGTAACAAGTAAAATCTTCGAATGGTCTGCTTTGTATACTTTTGGTGATAGCCTTGCCACATGGCAGAGGGGTTAATCAAGGACGGGATTTCAGTCAGTGAGCTGAGTGGAACTCTTTGAACATGGATATTTCAGCATGTAAATATTTGCATGTGCATGTTTAGGACCCGAATCTCATTTTAGACAGGCAGTGTGCTGTTTGTATGTATAAGAAATGGAAAAGATGTATATGATAGTAGAGTGGTACAATTCTGTTGAGAGCATTTTTCCATCTTGTGCTTCTGAAACAGTGATGAAGTTCTAATGCTATTTTGCAGTTTTCTTACATTAGTCTATACTGTTTTCAGTTTTATTGGCTTAAGAACATCCACTTAATCTAAGCATGACAGGCTTTTAGAAGCATCAGCACTCTGGGCATTAAAACCAACATACTTTTCCAAAACCATTTTTCAATAAAAGCAGAATCCTATTTTGTTTTTGACAGATGAATGATGGACCCTTGTGCAAATGCAGTGCTAAAGCCCGACGAACAGGAATAAGACATGGCATTTATCCTGGCGAAGAGGTAAGTAATTCTAAGAATTGCAATTATGAATACAAACTTGCTGCTGTAAACTCATACTTGGGTTGATTTGAGGTTTTTTTCCCCATGATTTACAGGCTTAGTAAAAACTCCTGTGCAACGTTAAATCGCTTAGTTGTGTAACCTCATATTTAAAGCACAATACTGGTAATGAAATCTACCTGAAAACTATGGAAAACTTTTGCTTGTATTTGTTTAGTTTTAGGGGTTTTTTTCAGTTTCTGAAACACAATTACATTAATAAAAAAGAACTTGTGGTCAAAGATCTACCATCTTCAAGTGGATGAGTATGTTATGAGGGCCCTCTTTGTGAAGGGATTGCTTTAAAAGTAAAAGGAAAAGTAAATAAAATAGTAATTCTGCTTCCGGCATGAGCAGGAAGCTTGTCAGGAGGTGTTCTTACCTTAGCACTAGAGCATGTTTGCACTGTAAACATTCCTCCCCACATTGTCTCTAGTGTTTCTCTTGCAGAGAAGGAGGGAGAAAATTTTGGCAGGAGAAAACTGATATATAAAATTTGCTGCATGAAGGCCACTGCTCCCTGGGGCAAGGCCAGCTGGCAATGTGAGGTTTTGGAAAATCTCCTAGGGTATGCTAGTCTTTACAGCGTCCTGTAGATAAAACTGCCTAGCTTTAAACTGGCTGGTTTGTAACCGTCTTGTTGCAGCGGTGAGGAGCTTAATTTGGGGCTGAACATCCAGAGTAATTACCCTACTTATTAGATGGGTTTTGCAAAGTGCACAGAGCTGTGCAGTGGTGTAGCTATCTTGCCATTGCCATCAGGCCAACTTTTGTAATGCTCTTTAGAGTAGTACCCTGCTTGCTGCAGTGATATTTTTTTTTTTTTTTTTTTGCCATGCAGACAAATGTGTTCTGAAAAGGCTGGTGGCAGCCTCTGAACTGCAGAAAATTGGATATAGGGCATAAGAGAAACTGATTTTGTCTGACTGCTGAAGATTTGTAGGTCTTTAAGCCGGACTGCTTCAGAACAAGCTGGAAGAAAACATGAATCCCAGGCATTTGGTGGTGCATCAGAGTGCACAGAGGGCTGGCTGCCTTTGGACCTCACAGGCAGGCTTTACAACCTGGCAGACAGAGCAGGGTTACCAGAGCTGCCTCTTGGTGACAGACTAATCCCTTCTCTTCAGGCCCCAGATTTGCCCCAAGCAGATGAGCTGATACCTGTCTACCTTGATAACATACTTTGAGATCTTCTCATGTGAGGTCTAGGTTCCTTTTTGTAAGCTTTTAAAATCAGTTTCCTGAAACAAATTCATATAAAAGAGGAAATTAGTCTGGTATGTAAACAACTAACTGCTGTCTGTAAGAAAGATGGAGAGTCAAATGGAAAATGAAAAAAATTACAGCAATGTTTTTCACCTTTTTTTCCTTTTGAATAGCTTTAAAAATATTTCTGAAAGTGAAAATGTAGATAAGGCCCCACTTTCCCTCTTCCCAGAATCCTTAATTATGACTACCTGCTTTTATTTAATTTTTCCTAGTGCATATTTCATGGCTATTAGAAATGCTTTATTCTCTCTTTTAATCTAAATTTGCCTTGACTCTACACATAATTCTACTTATCTCTTTCTTTAAGCCCATTAAACCATGTCGCCCCATGACCAACAATGCTGGAAGACTATACCACTATCGAATTACTGTGTCGCCTCCCACAAACTTCTTAGTAAGTACTTCATAAATAATTCTAACTAGGATTCTAATTTTGTTTTCAGTGATGGAAGTAATACTACTTCTTGTTTACTCCATGGTGGTTTTGTTTGCTTTTTTTAGACAGACAGACCTACTGTTATTGAGTATGATGACCATGAATATATCTTTGAAGGGTTCTCGATGTTTGCACATGCCCCACTAACAAACGTAAGTATGCTCATTGCTACAGACACGTGATTTTTTTGGAAGGCAAGCTGTTTCTGCCCTGAAGTACAACTTCTCTAAAACAATGGTACATGTATGTTACAAACATCTCGCCAGCACTGGGGACGTGGGAAAGACATTTGTGCTAATGAGTCTCAGGTTTTGTCTTGACTAATTGTGGTAGGCATTGTCTTCAAACTGTGACTGAGACTGTGATGTGCATCAAAGTAACATTTTTACATGTTTCACAGTTTGGAAGTGAAATAAACCATGGAATAAATTGTTAAAACTGTTAATTGGATTTAAATTGGATTAGGAGGTTTGTTAAGTTGGAAAAGTTTAGAAAACAGCAACAACAACAAAAAAACGTTTTCCCTTTATTAAGTGACAAAAGGACGTTTTTCAGAGATCCGCTCGAAAGGGATTTCTCTTTTCTAAAAACTTACCTGGGTGTATCCACTACTTTGTAGCATGTGTTCAGCTTCTTCAGGAGCTAGGCAAGTTATGATTTTTATTAAAAGTTGTAGGTATTTGAAGGCAATTAATTTTGTGTTTTGAAATATAAGAAAAAAAGCACAATCGGTACTTGACTGCCCTGCTTTTCCAACATAAGCTGTTAGCCGTATCTGAATGAAAAAATATGCAAATACTTAATTTCTATACATTTGAAGATTTTTTTGTTATCTTGATATTTCAAGAACTGTTTTTCTTTAAATGTTGTAGGGTTTGTTTCTTTCCTTGGTTTTATACCTATTACTAGCTACACCACCAATGCGAAAACCCAGTGTAAGAATGGTTATCAGTACAGGACTGGGATGTAAGAATACTGGAACTGAGAGGCACAAGAAGAAAGCATTTTTTTTCGTGACAGTTTGCTTGCATAGTCTATATGACAGCATGACTTTTGGTAAGCAGGGGAAGGGACTGTAATCTTGATGAGAAGTCAGCAAGAGGGTAGAGTTCAGCCTGTGGGATTGCAGCGTGAAGCAGTCCTTCCAGGTAGCATTAACAGCCTTGGGGTTCAAGGCAGATTTGTCCCGAGGCTTTACATTTTCACTTTGCAAACAAGCAAAAAGGAACAGTTTTGTTTTACTCCCATTAGAAGGGAAAAAAGACCACCTTATTTTTATAATTTTTGTGTGTACTGCATGACAGGAAGGCAGAGTTATGGAAATCTTTAATATACAGAGAACAAGGAAAACTCTTCTTGTCTGACATGAGTAGTTAGTGAAGACATTGAGCTTACACTTACTGTAAAGTGCATGTGTGGTTTTTTTTTCTCATTCCAAATAGGGGAAGTGATCAGCAGCAAATTATTACTTTTTTACAGAGTTGAATACAAAACAACACCACATTGTCAGTTCCTGTTACTAACAGATATAAAGCCCTTTGGAAGGAGTCTCTTGCTGTCTTGAGATAATTTTTGGCAACATAAAAACTGCTGTTTGAGAAACATTTTGGAACATATGTGATAAAAGGGAGGTGACAAAGGGTAGCAAAAATAGAGATCTGAACACCAACGTCTCTGAATGAACCAAATTTCTGTAATTTGAGGTCTTAGCTTTGCACCCGGTTAGAAGTCTTACTACTGTTATTACTGTTACACAGTAATAACTGAGGAGGTCAGATATTAGGGAAAATGATTAGTGTATGGTCATATGAGAAATTATAATTTTCTTAATATAACTACCAAAACAATTTTGTAGTACCAACCACATGTACCTTTGCTATGTATTTGCTTCTGTGTTTGGAACTCTAATTCATGGAGATTTTTGTCGTGGTCACTTCTCTAAAGCATTCATTTTCTATTCAATACAAAGAAAAATACCCCAGGCTACAGAGCTTCTGAATCAGAATATCCTCTCCTGGTTGAACTTACATGTTAGAAAGTAAGCAAATGCTCTCTGTGTTTTCATCTTTTTTTAAAAGCCCTGCTGGCTTAAATGTGACAAGTTTTCCTCTTGGATTCTAAATGGGACATTTGACTTCCCAGGTTTTTTATTTTTGTATTCACATTTAATATTGTATCAAATTTGGCAAATGCAGTTTTTTATTTGGTGGTTTGGTGTAGGTCCTTAGTTTATCGTGCAGATATCAACAGATTTTTGTAGACAAAATAGTCAAATGTTTGACAGTGGGCTGCAAGAAGAATATTGCACCTCTGCTAAGTCCATTGATTTCAGTGCAACCCCAGCACCGTTCAGATATTTATTTGTGTGCTTATCAATGCAAAATAACCTTGAGTTGCCTCACTTTCACAGACCACTGAATTGTTCTAAGATTCTTTTATGCTTGCCAGGGCAGCGAATATTAAAACTTGCTAAGAGCTGTAGATGTGTAGGGTAGGAGTAGGCATTTCTGTAGTCTTTTAGAAATTTAGCATTTTTGTTTTTAAAAATCCCATTTAAAAAACTGACCAACCACACACCTTCAGCAGTCCATGGACTTTGCAAACAAAGGAACCTTTTTTCAAAGGTGAAAAAAAAGGAATTAGATGTTTGTCTTACTAGTTAGTTGAGTGAACTTCTGAGAATATTTATAGGATGAAATTAGTATAAGCCTATAAATTTATCCTGAAGCTCTTATATTGTGTTGCTATGACTTAAAGCCATATTTTAAGACAGTATAGCTAACAGGATTGGCAGTGTGCTAAAAACACCTCCCCTTCAGGTCACTGTATCAATCTGACATGTTGTGTCACCAACAATAAATTCACTTCCAAATATACAAGTGAGAGAAGATACGGGTTTACTGAGCTTTGCTTTTTCTTCTGAACAAAATTTCATCTCCAGTAGATGGCATTCTTTAATCTTCCTTTACTATCCCTCCTGTCAGCTCTGTGTTATTACAGAGGTGGACGTTAGAACTGTGACTTCTGTTGCACATGCTTGTGTTCCAGTCTTTGCATGGTCCCCAGAGCAGCTGTTTTGTAAGTGCCCTTTTCAGCAGACAGTAATACCTTTGCATACAAATTGTATTAACTATACATTTGATGCTGTATAGTTTTTTTATGCTGAATTTCTATTTTCATTCCAGATTCCTCTATGTAAAGTAATCAGATTTAACATTGACTATACAATTCATTTCATTGAGGAGATGATGCCTGAGGTAAGAAGGATAATTAGTCAAAAAGTCAGAGTGGGTTATGAGTCATTGATATGCTTAATGGATTAAACTCTTTAGAATCCCATCTTGTGAAGTCTCTAGAGACAGGCTGTGTTCTGAACGAATGGCTGAAAAGGAACTTGTACTCACAGGTGCTAACATAAATCCTTCTACCTAGGCTATCATATATTAAAATCAAAGAGTAAGAAGTGCTTATATCCATAGCTTCTTTTCATTTTAAGTTATATACAATATATGTCAGGTACTCTTATCTGTAAGCTGAGTTAGGCATTATCCTTCTTTTATGGATGACAAAAATAAGGCATATGGAGGTGCTGGTTTGCCAGGATCACAGAAGGCAATGGCAGAGCTGAAACTTAATCATGAGTTTGAAGCTCTGAAGATTGCTTATCAGTACTTAATATAAGCTGTTGCCAAAACAAATTTCCGGTGGATACAAACAAAGCACATCCAGTTCATAATCTTTTTTTTTTATTACAAATTAATCCCTGGTGAAGCCAGTTTGTGAAGTAAATTGCTGCAGTGGAACAGCATGTGTAGGTACAGAAACACCCCTGCATATTAACTACAAAGATAGGATCAGTGTTTAATTTAGTCACATATATTTACATTTTTCTTTCTAGTTATCTCTCTTTTTGTTGCTCAACAGCATCTAAATATATGCAAGAGCCCTGAAATTCCTCAGCAAGATTAATGTGATCAAAGCAATTCATTGTCGCTGAATCTGCTGTGTTGTCTCCAAATCTTATTCTAAAACAACAAATGGCCACCAAGCAAAATAGGGAATTTGACATTTTTTTGGACTCCTGGTCAATTGGCTACAGCACTATTTGCAAGACCGTCTTTATTAATGCATTCTTGTGAACGAGATTCTCTTGTTGGGTTTAGAATTTATGGCTGATGCCATACATACACAATTTATATAAACCTGGCCTGATTCTGTTTGTTAAGGAAGGCTTTTTAAGTTCCTTCATTTCTGAATGAAAGCTCTTTCCTTTGGAGGAGCTGCTTCCCCACTTGACGAGAAGAATCTCTTTTTTTTTTTTTTTTTTTTTTTTTTTTCTTCTCCCCTTTCCTGTTGGCTCTTGAGGTTCAAAATCCTCAATTCATTGTTCTGATGTGTTGCTATGGAAGTAATCATGATATCACAAATGGTGATTTCTAAACTTTTAATATGAACAAGTAGAAAAAAGTGAATTATGAAGAAGATTCTTCTTAGAAATATGTCATCTGCTTAGCTTACTCAGGTGAAAGGGTTTTAGTGCATGGCGAATTATCGCAGATTCATAATTTCTGCCTATAGTGTTGATTTGGACATTGACTAAAGAGTCTTCATTACAATGCTTTCTTGACAATGCTTTCTGAAGAGATCACTGTGTTATGTTACAGTAGCTGATTACAGATATATCTATACTGTTTCCAAAGCCCAGTGTCTAGCAGTTGGCAAATATGAAGACACTGGTTTTTTAGTTGTTTTATTTAAGTATATGTGAGTGGCATTATTTGTGTTACAGTTATAATTATATGTATTATTATTATATAATTATAATTCTGATTTATTTTTTTCTTTCCCCAGAATTTTTGTGTAAGAGGTCTTGAGCTGTTCTCTTCATATCTATTCAAAGATATTTTGGAGCTCTATGACTGGAATCTTAAAGGTAACTTTTATTTAGGGGAAAAAAAATACAAAAACCCAATTAATTGCAGTTTTTGTAAACAGGACTCTATATTGTTATGTTCGTTGGTTTAAAAAGAAAAAAGTGGGGAGAGGCCCCAAAAGAACAAAGTCAAGTGCTGGTTTACGTGAGAGGGACAAACTTCCACTTTGTTCTTCAACAAGATGAAATGTATTAGAGTTCATTAGTGTGGGCTGTAGCAATTAAAAGGCACTAACTTGGCACTGTATTCTTGCAGATAAACTAAATTTCTTCCTTGATCCAAAACTGTTCTTCTTAATCAAATAGTAAATATTATTGTATGTTTAATATTGCACAGTATCGTGTGCATGGTATTTTGAAAGCCAAGATGTCAGGTAAACTATTCTCCCTGTTTTTACAAGCTGACAAACAAGTTACTCATACAGTATTTCTCTACAGTCAACTTAGAAAGCAGTGTCATACAGACAGCCGTAGAGGGATAACATATCATTATAGCTGGATGTTTTTGACTTGACAAGATGAAAATATACGTTTCTGTGAAGACTGCGACAAAGGAGAATTTCAGGGATGATCCTTCGCTTGCTCTAAAAGAAAACCAAGAATTTCAAAGGAATTTCATTTCAGAATCTGTAGGTGTGTTTCAGTGTCTTGACTTTGTCTATGGAGATGCACTGTGCACTTATTGCAGTTAAACAGAGGAGCATACAAGTTTCATACATTTTGCGTAGCCTTCTTTGGTTTGATACTAAATGTATTCTAATATCAATGTTGTGTTTCGTATCACTGGTTACAATTGTTCTTTCTTTTTTAACCCCAGGTACTTACTGGTTTTGTTTTTATTTTCATGTAAAGCTTTGGGTGATTAAATAGGAAATGAAAAAAAAAAAACCAAAAAATACCATAATGGAAATTTCCTTGTTATCTTTGTTACTGTAACCAAAAAACACCCCACTAATTGGGAGGGACTAATAAACTAGTGCTTGTGTCTGTAAGGCTTAAGTGAATTAATTATATAAATTTTTTTCTGTATCACTTTTAAATAAAACTACTATGTTTTTCTTAGATTTTTTATTTTTAAGTCATTGTAGCTTTCTTTGAAATTGTCCATGTGAAAGCTTTCTGTTCCTATCTACTGTGCATTTTGTTACTTTTCTGATTGAAACTTAGGTCCTATCAAATGTAGTCACTGCTCATTGATTTCATCTGTGGCAAGGTTGCCTTCTTTTTTTCTTCTTTTGCAGATATGTTGCTGTTCATAAATTTTCCTTATTTTTTTCATATTTAAGGTCCTTCACCTGAAAATGATTCTGTTTGCTGTCCCAGATTTCACTTCATGCCGCGATTTGTGAGATTTCTTCCAGGTAATGTTTGTGTTATGTAGCTTTATGAAAATTAGATCTAAAAAACAAAAAAACTACCCCAACAAATCCCCCCAAAACACTCCCCCCCCAAAAAAACCACAAAAAAAATTATTGCAAGTCAAATGGTTCAGTCAGTGTAGAGATCTGGTGCTTCCGTCTGCACCTGGCAGTGCTTGCTGGCGGTGTGGATGGTTTAGTCAGAACTGGGATTTCAGATGGGCAGGCCAAGTCTCGCTTCCAGCTTTTGTCTCTGTCATGGTGATTTTAGGCAGTGCTGGGTCATCCTTGTCTTGCCCTGTGATGGAGCTGTGGCATTTGAGGAGTGAAACTGAAATTAATGTCCCCTCTGCTCTTCAGGATGCCATGTGATTATATTCAAATTCTTGATGTGCAGTTTTGAGGGTCAGCGTGATTGGCACCCCTGAGCACATGTTGTTCTGATTGTTTCTTTCTTTATCGTAATGCAAGCTTAGACCTTGCAGCAAATGGTGAAAGACAGAAAAACACCATTCCACTGCAATCCAACCCTAGCCTGCCAGCTAAGGACAAGCTTCAGTGTGGAGTGTTACACTCATTTTGAGTGAACAGCTTACACAGGCATTTAACACATCCTAAGATACTAGGGCAGACTTTCAGTTGGTATAAATGTCATGGCTCCATTGAAAATGCGTCCTGCTGAGATCCTGGAAGTGATTTCTCCAGAAGGGTTGTGTGGACAGGAGGATGCGTTTCGGCTGCTGGGCTGAGGATGCAGATGAGACATGGAACAACCTTCATCAAGAGGGCTGTGGCCTGGAGGTGCTCTCTGCTCTGGGCTTTGAAACATAGTTGCGGTATTAATTATAGCTGTGGCTAAATGAGGTTTGGCTCGTTACTGTGGAGAGTACTGATGGCTGGATGTCTATATTTCTAATTGTTGTTCCTTCCTGGATACACAACACTGTTCAATCAGAAGCAGAGCTCTGAGCCTTGCTAGCAAACATTGATTTGGTTCTGCTGAAGCAATTTACAAAATAAGCCATCAAGCCACATGTGGCTGATTAACTTGACCTCATCACAAAATGAGAACAAGTTTGACCTGCCTGGTTTGTGTAGCTTGAGGATGTTTCCTGTTAGTTTGGGGGTTTTATATTCTGATTTGTTTTATTTTAGTTTAGAATTCAGCTCTTTCTGTGCTGTTGGATTGTTTACTGATAGGGAGAGATAAGGCTACAATATGTATTCCTGTGTGCTTCTTCTTTAAGGTTCCCAGCCTTCTAACTCTTTATAAAAATGTCCTTTTCCTGATACTTCTGCATATATAGTTACCTTTTAGCATCTTTATGACAGATATTTTTTTAATCAAGTTTGCATTTTGTATTGATTATTTTTTGAGACATCCTTGGAGATTTTTAATTTCCAGAGAGTGGGAATCTATTTCCTTCAGGTATGTTTGCAGAACATTATTTATCTATGTCTAATCAAAGAAGATATATTGATGCAACAGATCTCCAGACATCCCTCAACTGTCTCTTTAAAGATAGAAATGAATTGCTGATTTCCTATCCTCTCTACTTTTCTTTCTTTCTTATTTTTCTAACATGGTCTAAAAATATGAGGCTTCGGATGTTCAGGGTTTCTATGTGGATTACTTAGAGACAAGCCTTGGGGTAGCTCTAAGCTTTGAGCTAATTGTACTCGGTTTACTGAGTGCTAGAGATGCATAGTATGCGGAATAGTTGCTGTACTGTATTCATTGTCATAGATCTTTATGGTGATAAATATATTAAGAGAGTAAAGGACTAGAAAAAAACATTTGAGGTCCCAAGTACTGCATGTTCTGATCCAGGAAAGTTGGGTCTCTTAACTACTGTGTAGCAACCTGTACATGATCTTCAGAGAGTAAGGCTACGCTTTTTTTTAAGTGATTGTTGGACATGAGCTACCTCTTACCTAACAGTATAATCTAGTTGTTGACAAAGACAAAAGCCTTGTAAACTGAGTCCCCCTTTAATTTGAAGGAAACGTTGCACATTTAAAAATCTGCTTCTGTAGCTATTTAGAAGTATTTTCTGTTTCTGGTGAGGTTTGGGGTGTATTTTCCCCATTTAAGATTCCCTCTTGGAATTTGAATGAGGTTAATTGTTCTAAGAGGCCAAGTTATATCATTCCCTTTCATCTTTTCTGTACCATAGTGCTGTAATCCCAGCTGAAGTAGGAGACGCACTTGTTCCCTTGCATGTCTTGTAGAGGACATCATCTTATGCAACACTACTGTTGTGCAGCAGTTCTGAAAGGCTTTTCCTGTGTGCTTGGGATCACATTCCTTGTGCTGTGGCATCATCCCCCATATTGCTCTAAGGCTTTACTTCTGGTTTTTCTCCATTCCTGTTTTGTGTGTGTAGTGATAGAGAGAACGTACTCAGTGACAGGACCAGATTGCTCGTGCTCCCTGGAAAAGGGAAATCAACGTTTGTGCTCTGTGCAAATGAAACTTGAAGATGCCTCCATACCTCCAAATTAACACCCTGTTGTTGAAGGAGGGGGTCAGAGATGTGTGTCAAAATTAAAGCACTGTAGTAAGATGTCTATCTTTCTACTCATATGAGCAGACATACTGAATTTGAATAGTCAGTGTCTTCTGAGTGGTGGTCTGTCTGGACTGTCACTCACTTGTCTTTCCTGTTTGCATCCTCACATCTGTAACTGGCTACATGGAGCCAGTCGGATGTTTATTATACTGTCTTCCTTTGTTACAAGCAGCCTTTGCTGTGCATGTTTCCTGGGGTCTCGGAAGTATTTAGCAGTTTTCATGTGCCCTTGATTCATTTAATGACAGAAGACAGCATGAGGCTCTTTAGTCTTCATTACTGCAGGTACAGCATGTAAGCACTACAGATGAGTTTAAAATGCAAGGGTAACTTGCTACATTCATCCAGAAGTATCCTGTAAAATTTTGAGTGTTCTTTAAAAAAGCTGCATAAATGGCTAAAGGCTTTTTAACTACCATTGTAAAAAGAATGATAAAAGTGTGAAAAGGAAGACATAACTGGACAATGTAACTGATTGTTCTGCCTGCTCATCTTAAAGTTTTTTCAGGCAAGTTAGAAACTTCAGCTTTACAGTATGATGAAACTGTTACTCTTGCTACTATTGACGTTATTGCTTCCCGTTTAGCAAAGTGTTTATGTGTGTGCAGTATTCATCAATAAAACATTCCCCTTTCTATTTGTCAAGTCGCTTAAGCATTTTGCATTTTATTTTGCTCATCCAAGTATTTTATGTGTTCTGCATATTTTCTCTTTTGCTCATGCTTTAGGAGTGAGTATCTGAAATGTGTTTTGTTTTATTTATTTATGTTTTTAAGATGGAGGAAAAGAAGTACTCTCAATGCATCAGATTCTTCTCTACTTGTTACGATGCAATAAAGCTCTGGTGCCTGAAGAGGAGATTGCCAACATGCTTCAGTGGGAAGAACTGGAATGGCAGAAATATGCAGAAGAATGCAAAGGAATGATCGTTACCAGCCCTGGCATGGTAGAGCAAATAATTCTGAATTATGAACAACCCAATGACATGTACATGTCTTGTTTCAGAGAGTCTGCTACAGGCTGAATTGGAAAGGGAAAAGATGACCAGTGACAGTTGCAGATTGCTATAGGAACAGTCCATGGACTTGTTCCAACCCTGGGAAGAATTGCACCTTCTGCTGCTCTACTGAAGGGCAGATTTCCAGATGAACAATGTTTCAACATGCATGATAAAAACAATGGCTATATTTTATGTATGCGAAACTGTAGTTTGCTCCTCTGCTTTCTTATTTTCTCAGACAGTCTTTATGTGCATGATCTCATTCTCTTTTCCCTGACACAGGACCAGAGAATTAGTAACTATTTGCTGTTTTCTTTCATCTTCCTCTTTTGACCCCCTAGCTCTATTTAAAGTGCTCTATCCAGATTCTGCCCTGAATATGGAAAAGGTGTTTTCTGCCTATGTGTTTTTTTCCACATTGTTTCTATGTTGCTCTCACTCACACTGAGGAATATTGTGTACGTTAATGAATGCATCCATTAATTTTCAGTCCCAAGCTTGAAACCCCTATGGCCTTGTTATTTTTGGAACAATTAGTATTTTAAAGCATATGTTCTCTGAACACAGCTCCTTTCAACTCCGGTGTTTATGTGAATTTAGCCCATTTTTCTGACTTTCACACTTAAGAAATGTGGGTCACAAGAGTAGATGATGTCCACTAAAAGCTGCAGGGTTCTGTTTGCGTGGTTTGATCAGTATCGCAAAGTGGTATCAGTAGTAGAGGCATGTTTTGGACCTGGTATTTTAGATTGCCATGCAGCTTTCTCAGTTGTAATACCTTTCTTTCTCTGACTTAATTTTCCTCCTTTGCTCATAGCTCACCTTCTTAGCTTCTCCAGAAAAAGTGTGACTTGGTATCACGCCTAAGGGGAAATTTGGTTTGCTAACTGAAAAACCTGTCCCCAAACTGCAGCCAAGGTGACTTCCTAAATATATTTTTCAAGTTCATATTTTTATGTATGGCAGCGTTACATTTAGTAAACTACTTTATAACTTCGGCAGGATAATTTATTTGTCCCTTGATTTCATTCTGAGTGTTTTTGTTCTGGCTAAAACTTTCTAGACCAAAAGGAAAATAAGACTATCTGTGGGAACATGAAATACAGAATACCTGTGAACTCTCACTATGGAAAATTCTACCTGAGCTGATTAAAACTGAGTGCTAAACCAGAATCTCGTAATAGAAATTGTTAGACAGCCTTAACTGTTTAACTTAACACTGCCTGTGGTTTCTGTGATACAAGAGACATGCTAGTGCACAAGCCATCAGCATCTGAATGGTTTACGCTGACATAACTTCAGTGGTTTTGCTGAAGATGTGCTGATTTCAGTTAGCTGAAAACTTGCTTTTTTGTTTAGCATGAAGGAATGGATATATGCTCCTTCCTTGTGTCACTGAACTGTAAATGTCTGTATGCACAAGGCAATGCAGTTTGTGAGTGGTAGTGTTAATTTTGAGATTTTGTGATTTTTACTGACAAACTTTGCATTCTGCAAGACAATGTTTTGAGAGATGAGTGTGGACATCAAAATTTGTAAGCATAAAAGAAATCTGCAGCACTTTGAAACGTTGTCATGTTATAATGCCATCATTAGAACATGCTTTTTCTCTCAAGAAGATTGCAATGACTTTCTTCTTAGTTTGTGGATTTTTTTTCTGTTCATTGCAGCATATTCTATTGAGTATGAAAGTATTTTCTGTATGTTTTACAACGTTAGAAGATAAAACAGTTCTGTTATAGAGACAATGTGAAACCGTTTTAGAAAATGACAGCTCTTCAATTCAGTTTTATCCACTTGACACAACAAAGTAAAAACGCTAAATTTTATTTTGCTGCTTTCTTCCATAATATCACTTCAGAAATAATAGTTCATCTTGTGAGCAGATGTAGGTTTTATATATGTATTTTATTTTTTTAGAAGTGAGGTGTACATATATGCATGATGGAGAAGGGAAAAAATTTTGATAGGCGTATAAATCCCATTTGCTTAAACAGCTAACAATAGTTCAGCATTATTTGAAACCATTTAATTTATTCATGGTGTTTCATTAGTTCACTGAAACTTTGTGTCGGAATAGATTTAAAGGTTCACAAATTTTAATCCTCTTTAATACGTCGCTATTTCTAAAATATTGCTGCTTTTCTCACTAGTACAAATGTGTATGTATTTTTAACATATGTTTGTACTGCAACTTCATGCAATCTCATCACGTCTTCTAATTCAGCAAAGACTTGATTGATGAGGTTTGGAGTAGGAAACAAAGATAATGGGCCTCTGTTCTGTCAGAATTTGTTTTCAATGAGATTCTAAAAGCAAGGTTATGATTATGGTCTCTCACAGCACTTTTAAAAGAACACAGGGATAAAAATCTGGAAGAATAACATCTAATTTGCTTACGTCCTGTCTGCTGGTGTGCAATTTATACTGTATATTTCTGTATGGTGCTGTTTGTTCATTTAACCTTCACAAACGGCACCGGAGAGGAAGCTAGTGTTCGCCCTGCTGAAGGAAAAAAGCATGGCCTAGCTGCTCCCCTCTCCTAACCATCAGTGAAGGAACAATTGTGGTTAAGTCTTAAGGAGAGGTTCTTTTGTCCTGGTTGTTATCAGGCATCTGTGAACAGCTGTGTAACTGAGTGACAAAACTCAAAGGCAGTGGCATATAAACAAAGAGAGAGAGTCTGGTTTTGAGTGATCCCAAGGCCACACGTTTCACACAACCCTGCTGTAGGCGTACTGAAAGCTCTTCTCCCTTTCATGCTTTTGAGGATCAGATTGCTTCTATTTAAGTGCAATTTTTAAAAATAAACTGATTATAATTGGTGTATTGAGTATAATAATTGTTTCATAGTCTGTTAATCATGTTTTGCTGCCTTGGTTCTCAGAGGAGTTGTTGTGTAGCAAGGCTGCTTTTTTGAGGGGGACGGGGATGGGAGAAGTTCCTTATTTTTAATGTTAAGAGAGGGGAGAACCAATGAACGACTTTTGTGAAGATAAAAACTTTTCAAATTGGTTTTGTGCAAACCCTACAAAAACAGATAAACTTGAATTTCGGGACTTTAAGGTCTGGTTCAGAGAACAACATTCTGCCTGCTACAAATCCTCCCCATGTTTTTCATTAGATTTTGTTGTCCTAATCCCTTTTTATTGGAAGTCCTGTGGGGAAAACCTTTTCTCTTCTTTTTTTTTTTCTTTTTTTTTTTTTTCTTTTTTTTTAACCTTGGCGCCTTCGCCAACGC